ATTAAAATGGGAAACTTTACTCGTTGGTCGTAAGATCTAGAAAAAACTAATTAGTTATTATTAACTGTGCAATAAGTTACTGATTTATTTTTTGTCCGGCACTCAACCAGTCACTTGTTTCTACATTTCTTCACTTGCTGATTTACTTATCCGGAACTTCAACAGTCGATCTAGTTAATTATAAAAATTGGGCACACGGTATCTCTTTTACACTTTTTAATGCGTCGACAACAAACAATTAATTATGTGAGTCAAACAATGCATCGTTTTATTTAGTTTATGTTCATTAGAGGAACTTATGACTAAGACATGATGCACGTGTCCATTCTGGTCAATTTAGGAGTTAAACAATTAGTGTTAACTGGCGTCAATATTTACGCGTATTTGTTGAACCGAGGCGACAGACTCAGATGGTCTTGACTCTTGGGCCACAGTTGTGCAAGCCTACAATTGGACTTAATCACGCCATCTCGGTCACAAATCAAACCCAATTCGTAGAACAATCAACACAGAGAAATTTGTCTGAACAGTACATTATAACTATTATACTATAGGTAACTATGGGTGTGAAACGTGGAAGGTCACCAAGGTCATCTCGCACCAGCTGCAGGTCTTCGTCAACCGCTGCCTTCGCCGAATTCTCGGCATTTACTGGCCTGAGAAAATCTCCAACGTCGAGCTATTGGAACGCTGCCACGAAATTCCGATCGACCAGCAGATCAAGCGCCGCAAGTGGAACTGGATTGGCCACACTCTCCGAAGGGATCCCGATCACATCCCCAAGCAGGCTCTGGATTGGAACCCCCAAGGAAAACGCAAACGTGGTCGCCTCAAGCAAACTTGGCGGCGCACTGTGGCAGACGAGGCGAAGAAGATCGGCAAGACTTGGAGCGAGATCAAACACATAGCTCAAGACCGAACTCGAAGGACTGTTGTGGACGCCCTCTGCCCCATCTAGGGGACATAGGACCATAAGTCAAGTAAGTCAAGTATAGGTAACATGAGCAACTATGGGAATTAAAAGATTGAAAGAATATCCTCTCCAAAAGATGCTAACTTTGTAGGGTATGTATGTATTGATAAAATAGTGGGTGGGTATTTCCGTAGTCAACGGTTGCAGTTAAACTTGGCACTACGCGGTATTTAATGTATCGTCTTCAAAAAGTACCTAAGGTAAGTACTTAGAATCAGACACCTGTATAAAGTCTCTTTTAAATGTTTGTTTATTTCTCAAAAATTATAGCGTCCTTTTTTGGAAGTAATTTAATACATTATGAAAGCTTCCTTTTTAGCGGATACAATGATATTCTCAAGTGTATTGTTATAATAATCTACAACAAACATTTATTTTTACTACTTACGTCAATAACCATAAATAAACATTATGATACGAATTGTCAACATGATCTTTTCGACTGTTAAATTTATTTAGGGCTGATTTTTCAATCGTCGGATAACTTTTAACTGAAGAATAAGTTTGACACATTGACAGTTTCAGTATGGGAAATATGTCAACATGACAAGTTTATTCTGCAGTTAAAAGATATCTGACGATTGAAAAATCAGCCCTAAATGTTATAAATACATTACCACAACTCAAAATTAAAGTACTTCATCTTGATCACTCAACAAAGCGCAGATTGTTTAAAAATTCTTCATTAAAAATTTCATTCAAGGAATTCGCTAGTGTACGTATCTTGATTTATTGGCTTCAATAGAAGTGATTAGTTTCAGGCTCCATTAGTCAATCTGAAACTGGATGCTCTATAAATTCACGGAAGCGTCAAATTAGTTTAACACTAATTGTTTTTCAAGAACACTAAATAACGGAATTTGAGAAATTAAGCTTCACTGAATTATACCGCTAAAAGGCTTGGCAAATTCATTACCTACTCATCAAAGAATTTAACCTTTCGATGCTTGCATAAAGCCATGTCATGTCACCGATTGAGCACTTACGTAAACGCTCCAAATAACTCGGCAATGGAACGGTAAAAATAGCAAATGCACGTTTAAACACATGTAGGTAAGTGTGTGATGTTCACGGCTTCATGCAAAATTGTTAATGAAGTACTTAAGTAGGAATAATAAAAACGTACCGCATCTATCAAGCCAGCCCTCAGCTCGGCAAGGGTAGGGAATGACCACCGCGTCGTCGCACCTCATTGTACACGATCACAAAAGACCAATTAGCACTTTAAAAGTATCGAGTCAACGATGCACATTGCCACTGAACATTTCACTACCGAAGGTACACCAGCGCGAGCGCAGCAGTAAATAGCCGGTGCGACGCGCTTCTCGATAGCCGCACCTCACTTTCACCAGCTGCCAATAAAAAGACAACTATGTTAATCATTGAAAATAGCGTCGATACAATAAGAATAAGTCTGACAAGACAAGAACTGTTTACTGCACGTTTTAGAACGCTTTTGTAACCCGACTTGAAACTTGTTGAAAAAAATACCAAAAGAATTTGAAATCGACTCACTCCTATCAATCAAATCCAAATAAGATACAACACTTACTGAAAAGTTATGAAAACTATTTTTAAGTTTATTTATTACTTACATTAACTTATAACTTCACTTTAATATAGAATTTTAAATAATAAAATATTTAATTTATAAATTCATAAATAAAATATACGTTTGAAGGTAGTTAAGACTAAATATCGTTATGTCGGATCAAAACTTTAAACACTTATAATTAATTTAATAAATTATTTACGTGCGTTACAAACTATTTTTATATGTTTAAAAATTGTCACAGTGTTTTAATACTATTTATTGACATACCTAAATACTTAAGTTGATTCAGTCATTTAACACACGCACGTAATATTTCCGATAAATTCACCAAACGTTTAGCACATCCATATCAGACACTGGCGTACAAAAAACTGACTGCCGTTCTATTCTATTTATCACATTGACCATTCGTATGACTCATGAAGCTACAGATAAAAATGGAGGGCAAAGTTGGGAACAAAACTTGAGTCAAATACCTACTTATATCTATCTCGCTCTCTGTGGCCCTACCTCTCTTTTTAGTGTGAACTGTAGTATTGCTATCTTCTTATTTAAATCTCCTTGTAAATTCTTCGAAATAGCCAATTCACTAACCAAATAAGAAGTTAAATAAATAAATAATTAATATTTGAAACTTAGATTACCTAGTTAAATAAAAAATCACAAAATTGTCGGCCATTTAGGCTTAATGTGTTGGCGAATCAGGGAATTACAATCCCAATTTCTGAGGTATCGGTAATGTGGCAACATCGACCGAATCCGGCCCATCATGGCGGTTGTTTACTATGCAGTTGATTTCGTTTGAGATTTTTCAAGGGACCTTATCATTGTTTTGTCTGAAGAAATGGTGCAAAATTGTATAGTGCGTGGTTGCGGTAGTTCGTGTTGTCCTGGAAGTGATATAAAATTCCACGCGTAAGTGTTTATTTCGTGATTTCACGAAATACAAAAAATTTAAATTTGCTCAAAGTCAATGAAACTCAATGTAAAATCTTCTTTTTCTTGACATATGTAACATTTAATAATAAGTTTAAATACTGGTAAAACGTTTTAGGAAGTAATTACTGTGAAAATACAAAGAAATATTATTTCTATTGATTGAGCTTGAGCTATTGACTTTGAGCAAATTTAAAATTTTTGTTTCTATAAGAAATCCCAATTTCTGAGGTATCGGTAATGTGGCAACATCGGCCGAATCCGGCCCATCATGGCGGTTGTTTACTATGCAGTTGATTTCGTTTGAGATTTTTCAAGGGACCTTATCATTGTTTTGTCTGAAGAAATGGTGCAAAATTGTATAGTGCGTGGTTGCGGTAGTTCGTGTTGTCCTGGAAGTGATATAAAATTCCACGCGTAAGTGTTTATTTCGTGATTTCTGACAGTGGATCATTGTTAACATATTTCTTTGTATTTTCACAGTAATTACTTCCTAAAACGTTTTACCAGTATTTAAACTTATTATTAAATGTTACATATGTCAAGAAAAAGAAGATTTTACATTGAGTTTCATTGACTTTGAGCAAATTTAAAATTTTTGTTTCTATAAGATATTTTGAAGTAGTATGACCATATTGAGGATATATCTGGGACTTTCTGTGGGACCTTACTTATCTAATTTTGCATAATGTTTTCTACGGCCGTTTACTGTAATCAATCCATATCCAAATCCGTCTGTCAACTGCCAAATTAAAATCTGTTTTCTATCAAATATCCACAGTTTTCGATGCCTTTACACTTTCTTAATGTTGTAATTCATCTTAAAACAAAAACATCGAAAACCTTTTTTCATAATCATTTAAGTGCACTTTATCAAGACACACTGTTTAAACGTAAATCAGTCTTTGTCGTCCTGAGAAAAATAAATAAAAGGTTACCCTACTTAGAAAGAGAGAGCCTGCCCACAGAGAGCGAGATAGTGATACATAGGTTGTGCTTCAAGTAGGTATTCTAAGTCTGGCCTCCATTTTTATCTTTAGCTTCATGGTATGACTGATGTGAAAAGAAACGGCAATATGCTGGTCCTCTCTGTCGTACCATATCGACCCGCCTCCTTATCATTCATTTAATCGAATGCGCGCGCAATCTCACAACTTGGTTTACAATTATTTTTAAAATTAACACCTTACAAAAGCTTTGTAAAATAATCTTAATTATTTGGTTAGAGATACTTTTCTCTAATAAAATGTTTTACCCATATTTTACCTACTTGCAATTCATTTTTATAAAGTTTTGAACAAAACAATCACTGGCACGAGTCAGTCAAATTTCCCGCTTCACCATAGACAAAATTTAAATTACGCTGTGTATTTTTATAATGGTGTTATTTACTTTTTTTTAATGCAGTTTTATAAGATTTAAATTTAAAAATGATTTAACTAGCGTTATTATTCGTCGTAGAATTATAATTAACTGTGTATTCAATTGATAAAATAGTAAATAATATAAAAATACTAAAAGGCACACACAGCACCACCAAGTCAACCTTTCGAGTTTGACGTCTGAAAATTCTTTAGTTTACGGTTCAAGATGGCTCTCAAAGCACTTGTCGGGCAAAGTGAGTAAAATAAATTGTTTTTTCGCAATAAAATAATCATTTTCGAGTGATAAAAGATAGTAGATAATATTGGACAAAAGCTAAATAATGAATTCAAAACGGCAGACACATGTTTTTCTTGAAACAAATCTTTCTTATCGAACGATCCCATCGATGACTAATTATTATCTTTGTTTTACTGTTTTACAAATAATTGTCCCTTTTTGCACTTTTTGCTTTCCGATACTCAATATTAATTACATTATATTCTCAGCTAAAAGTTACAGATGAATTCTAGCATTATATGAATCTTTTTTCTAGGAAATGTCTTTGAAACTGAATCAATTTTTGTAAACATTCATGTTTATTGCCCCAAGATGTCAAGATTTCTATAATTACTGTGCTATTTACTAAAATACCTAGATAACATCCTGTTCAGATTTACTGATATCTACCAGTTTATTACTATTTCGCCTTAATGAGGACTGGTGATGTTTATTGATTTTCTTATGTCATCTGTGTTAGTGGGATGGGGAGGCAGGGCGAATGTACGTCATACCTACTACAACGATACAAAAGAATGAATGATTCTGACTATAAAACATTACAGTAAACATTTTTGATCATGTTAATTTTCTTAGGACACCTACTACTTTTTACTTCTATCACACAGCCTTATGCCTATTATGTTTTAGATGAACTGTTTGAACTCTGATGTACAACTGCATACCTAAGAGATTTGAAACATTTTGAATAATAAATATTTAATGTTTTTCTCTAACAGAGATTATGAATGAAGTTATCCGCTATCGCGGACCCAAAGGCAAGGAATCCCAGCGTATAGAATGGAGAATTCTTATTGTCGACCAACTGTCCATGAGGATGGTGTCAGCATGCTGCAAGATGCACGACATCTCAGCAGAAGGCATAACTTGTAAGTTGTTATTTAATTACTTTAAAATATTTGCCTTACTTGGTTTACTAGACTCTTGAAAGAAAACTTACTAGCATAGTGACACTAGCACTCAAAATAAAATACTATAAAAAATAAATATACCATGCCACAAATTATTGTAACAATAAAAAATCCAAGTAAGAACTTTGTCATTACAATAGAACCATTTCTTTACTTCACAGTGGTGGAGGACATCCACAAGAAGAGGGAGCCATTATGCACCATGGATGGCATATACCTTATTACACCTTCGGAGAAATCAGTTCATGCACTCATCAATGATTTCTCTGTGGGCAATCGCATCATGTACAAGGCTGCACATGTCTTCTTTACTGAAGGTAGGTAATAAGTGTTGGTTAGAAAAAAGTTTAACACAAGCCAAGCTTACTTCATGTTAAAGTCTATCAGTCTTTCAAAGCTCATATTACTCTTTTATCAAGCAAATAGATTAATTTAACATGGATATTGTATCCCTTTGTTTATGTTTTATTGGTTCTTTTTAATGTTTATTTTATCTGGTGAGGAAAAAAGTTTTAATCTAAAACTGTTTATAGCCTGTTTTCCAGTTATCAGAGTTGTTATCATTTGAAATACACAATGCTATATTTCAAAACTGCTAGCTGTGATTAATTAAAAATCCACCTCAGTCCATATACTTAATTAATGTACCTATAATGTAAAACTGACCTTTCAAATATGCATGTAGAAAAATAAAAGCTAAACATTTCAACTATTATGCCAGTCTACATTTCTTATGAGCTGCTAGTAATAATAATATGTATTACATACTAATGGGTGAGATTAATTTCATTTCATTTCTGAATAAAAAGTTCTATTTGATCTCAAATCAAAAACCAGACTCATCTTTACGTTATTTTTTAACATTAAAAATATTAGAATGCTTACATCTTATTTGCGTCTTTTTGTTATGTATGCTTACATTTTTTTATTTGCATTTTATTTTCATTTTACAGCTTGTCCAGATAATCTTTTTGAAGACTTGTCGCGTAGTAAAGTATCGAAATACATCAAAACCCTTAAGGAAATCAACATAGCTTTCATACCATATGAGCAGCAGGTTTGTTTCACATTGTCTGTAATAATTATACATCACTGTTTGAACTTATTGAGAACGTCTTTTTGCATGCTGCATTAGTTTGCCCTGAGGAATTGTTCAATGAGTTGTGCAAGTCTTCAGCAGCAAGGAAAATAAAAACTTTGAAGGAGATTAACATTGCCTTTTTACCATATGAGAGCCAGGTAAATGACATGATTATATTATATTGAAATATTGTTGGATAAGTGTTGAAATCATAAAATTGGTTGATAACTATCAAATCATTCTTTGTGAAAATGAAAAGATTTTCAATTTTGGTCCCAAGAAGTTTTCTAAGAGTAGGCGCACACCGTTGATTTTTAGTTGGCCGATAGTTGTGCCCGATTTTAATTTCTATGAAGAATCGGCCAAATCGAATCGGCTTACTGTGCGCACTCCCATACATGCCTATACTGATCAACTGCCCGACTAAACTATCGGCCGACGAAAAATCAACAGTGTGCGCCTACTCTAAGTGAGCAGTTGCCAGTTATTGTCTGTAATAATTTTTTTATAAGAAATGAAAGTTGAGTGATAATATTATATGATATTCTCAGGTGTTCTCCCTGGACTCGCCGGAGACTTTCCAGTGCATGTACAACCCGGCGTTGGCGCAGACTCGCAACGCCAACATGGAGCGTATCGCCGAACAGATCGCCACGCTTTGCGCCACGCTCGGCGAATATCCCTCCGTGCGCTACCGAAGGTGATACACACACTGTTTATTGCCATTAAAATGGTTTACAACCATTACTTATGAATTACTTGTATCAATATTTATTAACGCAGTCAATCACTGAAGGCCCTGACTTCATCATAAACTAGTGTTCGTTGTATTTTTAAGTTATGTAAACTATAGTATAAAATGCTTTTTATTTTCAGCGATTGGGAGCGTAACGTTGAGCTGGCGCAACTTATTCAACAAAAACTCGATGCCTACAAGGTAATGTCTTTGTATTCGTCACAATCACAATAGGAATTTTATAGCGAATGGAACTGAAATTTTAACAAGTCATGTTTCGCAGGCTGACGAACCTACAATGGGTGAGGGACCTGAGAAGGCTCGCTCGCAACTTCTAGTGCTGGATCGCGGCTTCGACTGCGTGTCGCCGTTGCTGCACGAACTCACACTCCAAGCTATGGCTTACGATCTGCTGCCCATCGAAAATGATGTCTACAAGTTAGTACATACATTTCTTGTAAATCTTTACTATTACGGAACATACATTAATCAAGTATTTTTTGTCTGTATTATGCTTTCACGGAATTCGTTAATATCTGATTTATTAACAATATTCATTTAAAAAAACTTATCATTACGCAAGCAATTGGAGCGAAAATAGCCCTTAACAGCCAAGTAACAAAGCTTCTTATCCTCTAATTACTCTATATTATTTTTCTAGATATGACGCCTCTCAGGGAGGGGCACTGAAGGAGGTGCTCCTGGACGAAAACGACGAGCTGTGGGTGGAGCTCCGCCACCAGCACATCGCCGTCGTCTCCACCTCCGTCACCAAGAACCTGAAGAAGTTCACGGAGTCCAAACGCATGGGTGGAGGTAAGAATTACAATCTGTACTTCAATACAATCCATATCAATATTATAAATGCCAAACTCTGTCTCTCTTTTACCTTTTCACAAACTACTGAACCATATTAGATGGAAAAGTTGTTACAGAAATAGTTTTAAACCAGAGAAAAACATAGGATAGTCTGTTTTGAAACGGGAAAACACGTGCGATAAAGAAAAGTTGATCAATGAAATAGTAATGAAAATGGTAATTTGAGTATACATTCATACATTGACACAATCAAAAACCCTTACCTTAAACTTACTGCTAAATAATGTTATCCCTTAACTTTTAATTATAATGGCTCTTTCTGATTGTCAGGTGACAAGCAATCCATGCGCGACTTGTCGCAAATGATCAAGAAAATGCCGCAGTACCAGAAGGAGCTGTCCAAGTACGCCACGCACCTGCGCCTCGCCGAGGACTGTATGAAGGCCTACCAGGGCTACGTCGACAAGCTCTGCAAAGTCGAACAGGTAGGCATTTAAAAGGCATTTTAGAACACAATAAACCACCCTTAGGCGATTATCACACTGCATCGCGGTCCGCTTGGCGACATATAACGAATCCCGCGCGCAAACGCGTTGTCAGTGTGTTGTGCCGCGCGTGTTTTCTATACAAACTGAGGTACTTGCATATAATGATTAAATCTGTCGTCCGGCGTACCGCGGCGGAGCGCGGTGCAGTGTTATAATCGCCTTATAAGGGATGAGTTTATCGAAACAACTTTACATAATCTTAATTAATTAATTGAGTTTTCTTTTTAGGATTTGGCTATGGGTACTGATGCTGAAGGTGAGAAAATCAAAGACCACATGAGGAGCATTGTGCCAGTTCTGCTAGATCAGGTAATTAATGTCTTTTTAAATACTTTGTAAAGGTTCGGCCAAACCAACGCGATCACACGCGATCAGCCGGCGTGCAGCGATGGCGATCAATGCATTTAAGTCTGGTCGCCATCGCTGCACGCCGGCTGATCGCGTTGGTTTGGCCGAATCTTTAGAAAACCACAATAATGATGACCCTTGACAACTTACTTACAACCCGATCGAGTTAACTGCGCACCTCGCTGGAATGCGATTCTTCGTCGCGTTTGCTCGGAGCGTCGTTGTGACGTCACAGCTGCCGGGTGCGCAGTTAACTCGATCGGGTTGTAATTTTGGATTCAACTGACTTATCAATGTACATTTCCCCAGTCTGTGGTGAACTTCAACAAGATGCGCATCATCGCGCTGTACATCATGTCCAAGAACGGCATCTCGGAGGAGAACCTCAACAAGCTGGTGACGCACGCGCAGCTCGAGCCCTCCGACAAGCAGGCGCTGCTCAACCTCGCCAACCTCGGGCACAACGTCGTCGTCGACGTACGTAATCAAATTATTTTGAAACGTCTAATGCCCGGTCTCTGAGCATGTAGAATTTTGTCCTATGACCCCAAGCTACCCATCCTTATCGCTCGCGCGTAATTAAGTTGCTGTCGCGCTCACACACTCACTGCGGGCGCCCCAGTCGCACAGTCGCGACAACAATATAATTACGCGCGAGCGGTAAAGATGGGTAGATTGGGGTCATTGGACAAAATTCTACGTACTCAGAGACCGGGCTTTAGACGTTTCAAAATCGTTATCTATACGGCTATAGTGGCAAAAATAATAATAAATATCTTGGACAATTTCACACAGCGCCATCTAGCCTCAAAGTAGGCAATTAATATGCTTGTATTATGGGCGCTAGCAACGGATATTCTACCTATCTAGGTATATGTGTACTTTTTTTTTAAATAACATACAGTCATTATAAACATAGTAACACCCAGACAGAAAATAAAATTCATCATTACAACTTCTGCCCGGCCGGGAATCGAACCCGGGACCTCTCGGCTTGTAGTCCGTTCTGAATCTAAAGGCGGGTACAGACTGCTGCAACGCAACATGCAATGCAACACGAAACGAGCATTGCATCAGTGTAGACGCGGGGCGCGCACAATGTGCGCACGAACCGCGCATGTACCTACTCACATCTGTTTCCGAGATGCGCGCGAACGGATCGCTCAGTCTGCAAAAGAACACGCAAAGGAATGGATCGTGACGACCAATTGCGGGCTCTGATGATAGTCAGTGCTTCATTATTAATAGTGAATCATGTGATAAAACGCAGAAGACATCGACGTTGGTGGCGTACAGAGTTGTATAGTCAGAGAGCTGGTGCAAAACTAATGGCCGATATGAGATTAACTGGACAATTTCAACATTTTTCTTGTGTTGTTTCCATCAAATTAGCAATTTCCATCCATGCATCCTCTTTAAAATGTTTTTTATAAAAATTCTCATGTTGTGGATTCCACAAAATTTCCTTCACTTCAATTAATTGAAGCACTTTTTCTTCACTCCACGTAAATGTAACCGCCTCCTCCGCCGCAGTAACGTCGTCTTGTTCCATGTTCGCGCGCGTCTAGCCGTACACACCACACAACCTGTCCACACTGACGCTCCGCGCATACTGCGCGCCTCTTTGTGTTCGGGGAAAAATCCGACAAATTTCGGGTCGCTACGCGCAAGAGTTGCAACAATCTGTTCGTGCGCGTAGTAGACGCGGTTCGTGCGCGCAAGGCGTCTACACTATGGGAATTCTGTTACTTTACATGATACATTGCAGCAATGTGGACGTCAAATTCTTGCATTGCATGTTGCATTACATGTTACATTGCACCAATGTGTACCCGTCTTAAACCACTACACCAAACGGAGCTAATAACCCAGTATTTAATAGAAGCGCCCTCTTATAAAAGTCACAATTATTATTATATGGAACCCTTCAGTGTTGTCCAACGTGGCAAAAATCGGAACTATAACCCAGAATCGACAGTAGCGCCCTCCTGTCAATCTCATAGCTGGAACGGTTCAGTGTAGGTCTTCTTCTTTTTTGATGATGTTGGCAATACACGTCGAGGTCGACTTGATTTGTGCCATTTTCAAGTATTTATGTGATACAAGTTACAAAATGAGATCAAGTAATGATATTATGAAGGATGATAGATGATACCCCTTTGAGTCTCAGTAAAGTTGTGGTGCTTTACTGAGACCTCCTATGGACAACTTGAGAGAACCAGAAGAATCACGATGCACTGTTCTGCTTCACTCGCCCACACTCATGCACGTTCACGAACACTTAATGGTTAATAATCCACCATTATTACACATTAATAGTCGCCCAAACACGAATTTGAGGAAATAAAACAAAAACCGCTAACATGGCGCTTCAGATTCCCGCCAAGAAGTCCTCAGTGTAGGTCATCTTTAACCCAGCATTGATAGTAGCGCCCTCCTATAAATGTCACAATTACATGGAATCCTTCAGTGTTGTCGGTGCTTCAAATCGGTAGCCCAACATCCTGGGGGGGCACCAGACCATTCTGGGCGGGCGTGTCACCTCGGCCCCCCGCTATACAGGGTGTTAGGTAAATGGGTATATAAGCCGACACTAGCTCATGTTAACATGGGCATATAAATGGTATGGTGAAGTCAGAAAATTGATATCTTCATTTTAATTGTTTTAATTTTCACACAAATCGGATTTTATTAAATTTATTTAGTATGAAAATTAAAAAAATTAAAATGATGATATCAAATTTCTGACTTCACCATACCATTTATATGCCCATGTTAACGTTGGCTAGTGTCGGCTCATATACCCATTTACCTAACACCCAGTATACGCGCATGGAGCGTGTATTTCCATGCACTTTGGAGGCGCTAAATCATAGTCGTTAACAAAATGAATTGATTGTTCCACAGGGCAATCGCAAGAAGCAGTATCAAGTGACGAGGAAAGAGAGAATCACTGAGCAGACCTACCAAATGTCACGATGGACACCCGTTATTAAGGTATAAAATCGATGCATTAATTAATGAAGATATAGAAAAACATTCACAACTTTTCTCTCTATCTCAAATGAGAATTCATATTATGTAGGTATAGTGTCTGGGCTCTGTATTGTAATGGTTATAAATAACTTTATTTGGAGAATCTCTTGTTTGCTCGTACGATATTTGATGATAAATATTTAACTTTATTTTTAGATTTATCTAAATCATGTGATGACTCTTACTCAATAACTTAATGAACAAAATTTGAACCTTATTTATAAAATCGGAAATAATTTATCTGTAATTTGTTTATTATGCATTTAGGACATCATGGAAGACGCGATCGAAGATAAGTTGGACCAACGACACTTCCCATTCCTCGCCGGGCGCACTCAACCCTCGGGATACCAGGCCCCTACCAGGTATACAATTCTTTCATAGTAAAGTTGTTTCAACTTAAATATTAATTAGGTAGGTTCTTTTTTTGTCGTTTAGATATGGGCATTGTATAATATTGTAAGTTTAAATACATATTTACGCTTATTACAGCGTGCGCTATGGACATTGGCACAAAGATAAAGCACAGCAGACCATCAAAAACGTGCCCCGTCTCATCGTATTTGTCGTCGGCGGTAAGTTGATTCGTAATATTTTTGTTAAGGCACGTAATTACAGACAGAAAGAACCACACGATTACAAATACGTTTCCTCGCAGGTGTATGCTTTTCGGAAATCCGCTGCGCGTATGAGGTGACAGCTGCGGTGAAGAACTGGGAGGTGATTATCGGCTCGTCCCACATACTCACCCCAGACACTTTCCTCTCGGACCTCAGCTCTCTCACCGCCTAAGCATTTGGATACTCTCGAAACATGTAGCAACTTAAAAATGCAGTCACACTTTAACCAAATATATTTATAAAGAAATACTTTCGTGTGATTATAATCTACTCACATCGTCGAAATTAGCATTACTACTAGGTATCATGTTTGACAGCATATCAACCGGTCTTCTTTTGTGAGGTCACCATCGCATGCGGTATCTCAGTACTGGCCCTTAACATTTAAATGTAATATGGGTGCTGGTGTCTAAAATGTATTAAAACTAGTTTGTGTGAATTTAAATTAGAATTATTGAGAATCATAATAATAGCTTCAATCACTAAATAACTGTGAAAGGGAGATAATTATTGTTATTGCAGTTATAAATATTTTATTTATTAATATTATTTTTACCATTAATTTTTTTTTTTTTCATTACTATAATGTACTACAAGTATTTTACACATAATTATTATAAGAACAATGTTAATGTTTAGACATCTTTTTGAAAATAATTTAATGTCATTGTTTTAATAGTTTTGTTACTATTGTGTAAAATATTTATATTGTTAGCGGATTTTGAAGATTTTAGCTTTCATGTTTAGTTGTTTAAGAAATAGAAATGTTAATTTACTGTAAGTTGACATGTAAAACTATTTTATTTCTGTATCAGACTGAAATTACCGATTTTCTGATGAGCAATACCGTTTTAGCGAAGCTAATTAAGTACTAAATTATTCAATACAAAACGGAATCATCCGTTTATTAGGTAACTATTGTTAGTATAGTTGTAATGATTGCCTTTATCTTATGTGTTATATTAGCTGTAACTTTGCTTCCTATCATATTTAATGCCAAATGCTAGATCTTGACTAAACAAAGCTTAGTTAAACAGTCACAATACTAACATTGTTACTCGTAACCTCTCGCGTGCCGCACGGTCGAACTGCCCCAATGGCTACGTTTGTTTGACGCCTATGCATCGTATTTGTATCTAAATTTAGACTTTACAAATCGCTAGTGTTTTTAAAATATAGACATTTTCATCTTTGCGAATTGTTAACTCTTCTATTACCGTGTTAAACATAAGTGTTAGTCGTGTCTACATTCCGATACTCGGTAAATACAAATTTTATAATTGTATTATTATTGTGTAGGTTTAATTGTAGTTGAACGGTACAAAATATATCACAATTCTATCCAATATCAAAATATAATATTTAATAGCCTTAGCATGGAAGAAGACAGGCTAGTTCTCGCCTTATTTAAAGCCGATATAGCCAATAACGTTGACAAGTAGTTAAATGTTATCTTTCACGTGTACTTATTTATAATACGATAAAAACCTCAATTGGAAAATAAGCACCAATGAAATATACGCAAAAAAATAATTGGATAAGAAACAACTGGGATTGTGGTGTAATATAAACCCCTGTGGTAGGAGTATGTAAACAAACTGATTGTGATATATGATGCTTCGTTATTAAATTATTATTAATGTTATTTGAAGAAAACTGAAAACCCAGTGGTCATGTATTAAAAAAATCAAATGACACGAAGCTGCCACAAGTATTGTAATCATTTGTGCAATTATTGTAGGGAACATAATAAAATTATTGTCTAAACACATTTAATGATCAGTATTGAACTGTTAAAGTTTCATTAAACTATTTAATCATCTTACTTATTGTTTCACTTCTTTCGACAGGTTAACCAAGTAATTATCATGTGACTGTTATCTTTTTTATGTATAAATATTGTCAGTTAACATTATTTACCTGACCTGCAGGCTATCTGCTATCACATAAATACAAACAAAACAGTGAAGACGAGTCAGTATCTCACTGCACGGTATCTCTGCAACTGCGTTCGTAACTAAAAATATGGGCAAAGATCTTGTTATTCTTGCATACTCTGGTGGTTTGGATACCAGCTGCATTTTGAAATGGTAATGTTTTTTGTAGGGTTCCTTATTTTTAATAAATAGTTCTGAACAGTTCCTTTAGATCAACTTATAAAAAGTTCTTTTGCATTAACTTGAACTTATAAAGATTTGATAACTGATTTCACTTATAAAAATAAAAACCTATTAGCATAGTAAACTTAAACAGGGCCAGTTATATTAACTTTGTAATTTGTTAGGTTAATTCAAAAAGGCTACGATGTTGTATGCTACATGGCGGATATTGGTCAAGATGAAGATTTTGAAAAAGCTAAACAGAAGGCAAAGGCCATTGGAGCCAAAGATGTAAGTATAATGAAAACGTATTATTTTTATCATACAAATATGAGTAGATTTATACAATTTTGAAGTAACGAATGTAGATGATACAGCGCAGTGCAGAACAGTCGAGCAGTATCTAAAAGCTGGATAATGACCAAGTCAAGGACGGTTATTCCCAGTCGCCCCCACTGGGAGCAACAGGGAATTTAAAAAAAAATGTCTCAGTTCTCCCCGGTGGCTCCTTTGAAGGGGCAACTGGGAGTATAATTTTGAAACGGCCCAGTCATTATTTTTTATGCCTTTCTTTCTGATTACAGTCATAATATTTTATTGATTAACATTATTGCTGCGTTATTAAAAAATCGCTAGAGGACTTTATTGTTATTTAATTTATATTTACCTGTACAGGTGATAGTTGAAGACCTTCGTAAAGAGTTCGTGTCGAACTACATGCTGCCTGCTATTCAGATGGGTCTTGTCTACGAGAGCCGGTATTATTTGGGAACTTCATTGGCTCGTCCTTGCATCTCGGTCGGCATTGTAAATGCGGCAAAAAAACTCGGGGCCAAGTATGTACCGATATCCTCATGCAGATTTAACGTTTTTTGAAAACAGGTATACCTACTTGATATTTCTTGCTGCTTGCTTTCTGGGGGGATCTGGGGTGGTTGAAGTAAGAAGATAATAAACCACAAAACGCGCACAATGGCCCAATCATGAGGCTAAGTGCGGTATTCGATTGCCCTGCAAAACTAACTAACAGGCAATATGAATCGTGTACACTTTTCACCAAATCTGTTCCTTGTAGAACGCATTATGATTGGTGATAACGTACCTATCTGGTGGTTGCGTTCTTTCTATTTAGCTACAACCGCGAAACACTAGTTAATGTAGGTATTCTCTTCAACAGATACATCTCCCACGGCGCCACTGGCAAAGGAAACGACCAAGTGCGATTTGAACTAAGCGTATATTCATTGTGGCCAGCAGGCAAGGTACGGCGACTATTTATTTATGCCATATAATTAAATGCATTTACGACGACCTATCTAATAAGGTGTAGGTACCTACTTGGGTTGACTGGAAGGAATCGCTTCCTAGCGATAAGACCGCATAACTTATTCCGTTTCAATATAATATATCTTTCCATATAGTCAGATTTGTGTACATACTACAATAAAGAATATACCTATCCATCTAACTTTAATATGCACTTTATATGTACTAAATTAAGATATTGAAAACGAATAGGTAATAGCACCATGGCGACTTCCTGAATTCTTCGAGAGATTTCAAGGCAGAAGTCACTTGATAGAATACGCTAAAAAGGAAAATATACCAGTATCGGCTACCCCTAAAGCTCCTTGGTCCACGGATGAGAACATAATGCATATTAGGTAAGAATTATATTGCTCGCCACCATTTAATTGACATCATACTTTTAGAGCTTCATTGGCCTGCCTATTTACCCGATTACGAAATTATGCAATTGTTTTAGCTATGAATCTGGTGTATTGGAAGACCCGTCGGCGGCGCCTCCACCTGGAATATACAAAATGACTCGCGATCTTCAACAGACTGAGGATTACCCCAGCGTTATTGATATTAATTTTGAAAATGGTGAGTGTCTTTAAGAAGCGTTACTTATTAACTGCATATTTGCATGTTTATGACTATCTTTAAACTGCAAAAAAAGCAGAAAAGTTTTTCTTTACAAATGATCTTTAAAATAATTTCATCTCGCTAAACCATCTATCTAAAAGTTCGATTCCCGATTAGGAAAGGTACAGTAAGTATTCATTAAAGTAAAATATGTTTCATTTCAGGTCTCCCAGTGTCAGTAAGAATTCCAAGTGGCCACGAAAAGGCTCTTTTGGTCACAGACTCCTTGGCTATTGTGGAGACACTTAATAAATTGGGTGGACAGCACGGTATTGGGCGGATTGACATTGTTGAAAATCGTTTTCTTGGTCTAAAGGTCCCTGTTTACTATTATGTTATATTTCGTCCTACATAACAATGTTTATTAGTCTAATATTTTATCTTACAATATAAATACGTCGTTTTTCAGTCAAGAGGACTTTACGAGACTCCAGCTGGTACAATTTTACACATAGCTCATGTCGACTTGGAAGCCTATGCTTTAGACAGAGAAGTGCTCAGGTACGTATTTAGATAGGTTTGTTTTTTAATTGATAGTGAGTTTAAGATGCTAGCATGACCTTATTTTATATTTGTTATTTTCAGGATTAAAAAATATCTGCAAGACAAAATGGCTGATTTTGTATACAATGGATTCTGGTTTTCACCTGAGGCAGACTATACAAAGAAATGTTTGCTACAATCCCAGGATTCTGTGACCGGATCTGTCACAGTCCAGCTATTTAAAGGAAATGGTAATTAGATTATTTTATGTTGTTTATAAGTTTAACAATGAGATCTATGATGTAGAGCAGTCTCTCCCAAAGTGGGCGATAACGCCCCCTTGTGGGCGCTGCAGGCTCAAAGGGGCCCGCGGTAAGAGACTCAGAAAAAAAATCGGGATGTTGTGTAGAGGCTTGGGAGGCGTCATCTACTAGGAGGACTCTTAGACATCGACTGAGCTCGACTCTTGACTACAAAAATGGGGGGCGCTAAAAAATAATTTATTCTCAAAGTGGGCAGTAGACTAAATAAGTTTGGGAACCACTGATGTAGAGCTTCGAAAATTATGTCAAATTTAATCCAAGTCAAAAAGTTATTAATATAAAATTATAAATCTATTTCAGTGACTGTAATAGCAAGAAAAAGTTTGACTAGCCTGTACAATCAAGAGTTGGTGTCCATGGATGTAGCTGGAGGTTTTTCACCAGAAGACAGTACAGGGTTCATCAACATCAATGCATTAAGATTAAAAGAATATGCCAGATTTATCAAACAAACAGAACAATAAAATCACATTACATATTTTTCATACATGTAATCTCAAAATTGGCCAGTAAAAATTGTAAATAACACTTAACTTACTACTTTTATTTTTATTCTTGTATCCATCATACTACTTACAGGGCAAACAATCAGTTATCCAAAGTATAGTATAATCTACATAGAGCCAGTAACTATATTAAGTAGTATAGTGGTAACTAAGATAGCAAACCAAGCAGAGCCCTTTAAACTAAAATAGAAATATGAGTTAAACAAATCAGGGTAAATATTATAACAACTTGTACAGATCACACTGGATATAAAACTTATATTTAATATATTATTACTCTTTATTTATATATGCTAGTGAAATACTCATCTTCTAAATCATACAAATCTGCTGCTATATCATCACGCAATGACATTAGTTTTTGATCACATTCTTGCTGTTTTGTGCGGAATAGTTTAGAGTTTTGTGTTATGGCTTCATTGACTGATGGGAAGTCATTTAATATCAAGTATTGTTTTATATCTGATACTAATTTCATCAGTGACTCTCCAGCTCGAACTGTAAAGAAGATAAGTGAAATTAATCTCAAATACCTAATTAGTGCTTACACTGAACATCCAGTAGGTAGGATATCTTTAAAATACATTAAAATTACATATGAGAAATTACAATATCTCTAAGTATTATAACATAGTAAGTACATCACACAAGACTGATCAAGTTTAAGGTCCAGGAAAAAACTTTTCTCACTGATTAAAGAAGGCATCAAAGTACTGACTGATTTTTATTTCAATAAATATGAGATTGAGAGTAAATTTTTGTCAATAAATATTTTAAGTCTAATACCTATATTTGCAGCTCTGACTTGCATTTCAAATGTGTCTTGTTCAATCTGTGTCATCCTGTTCAATTGTGATTCATTCTCTCCTCTTTCTCCTTTTGCCAATCGAATGATCTCTGAAAATTTTAATTGTGATATATATTACAACTGGACAAATAATAAGAATTGACAGTCCTATTTGAACCATTCTGAGCTTGAATTGATCAAATGAGAGACAAAAAGTGGAAACTGGCTTCATAAAAATAATGTTGCAATCATTATTTTTTTGAAACCAGTTTACTTGGAGCACTACAAGCTGTTATAACAAAATGATATGAAAAGTGTACAATATATTTTAAGTATTATTCTATTTGATTAAATATTTACATATCTGTATTTCTCAAAAAAAATGTACGTAACGAAACGGTAGTAACGAAATAGTAAGGCCATAAGGCTTGTTATACATTGGCGAAATATTGTGAATGCTCTTCATTTATTCAATTCGAAATATTTGTAAGTACCTATGCACCCAAATACGGGGTAATATTAAGGGGTTAGAAATAAAATAAGGGAGTAATCATTCATACTATTTTAATAAAATTATTTTTGTTCCATCATGTTTATCCATTTTGAGTCGT